AATCAAGCTCTGAGTGTTTCTTAGGAGCGTTTTCAGTTTTCCAGTTCACTACATCGTCTCTCCTCATCAATTTTCTTATTTGCTTTTTGTGGAACTAGGGATTGAGCCCAGAGGCACTCTTCCACTGAGCCACATCCTCAGCCTTTTTTATTTTGAAATGGGGTCTCACTAAATTGCCCAAGCTAGCTTCAAACTTGCCATCCTCCTGCCTCAGTCTCCCCATTCTCTGGGATTAAAGTGTGTACCACCACACCTGGCTTTCTTCACCATTTTTCTAAAAGAGTAAACCATTTTAAAAAATATTTTACAATTACATGTGCATTTATCACCGAAAATTATTTGTAAACCTGTACCCAAATTTATTTGGAAACCTGTTAAATGGCTACACAGTATTTTATCATTTCAAATCATTCCCTTATTATTGGACACACGGGATTTTTAGAAAACTTTCTGCAATTTAAGAGTATCTATGTTACGCTTCATTTTGAAAAAGAAAGAAGGGGAAATAAAAAATATGTATGTATCTGCTTATGTGTGTGAAAACAGGAAGAAAAGTGAATTMGGGGGAGGGTGCAAAGTGACAGGGAAGGCAGGCATGGTGGATGTTAGGGTTTAGGTCTGAAATGCCCTCTAAAGACTCATGAATTGACAGTTTGGTCCCTAAAGCAGCAATAATCAGAGGTGACAGTCTCGGGATGTGACTGAATCATGAGGGATCTGACCTCATTAGTGGACTAATCCATAGATCATTTCCATGGTCTCAGAGCTGATGGCCTTATTGGGAGATGGTGTAAACCATAAAAGATGGGGTCTAGTGGAGGAAGTAGGTTACTGGGGGTATGCCCAGGAAGAAGGACAGTTCTTGTCCCTAGCCCCTTCATCTTTCTGCTTCCCAGCTACCCTGAGCTGAGCAGCTTTGCTCTGCCAAGTTCTTTCACTGGAATCTTTTCTGCCTTGCCTCAGGCCTAGAAACTACAAATAGAATCAGCTGACTATGGACTCAGGTGTCAGAGACTTTGAGTCAAAATAAATCTTTCTTCCTCTTTTCTCCCAAAGGCAAAAAGCTAACTAACATAGGGGAGGAGGGAGTTCAGTCCAGGTCTATGTTCTGCGCAGCCCCAACTGTGCCGCCATGCTAATGGCTGATGTATTCCAAGGAATTAAGTAGCCAGGTGTGGTGGGACACTCCAGTAAACCCATTATTCCAGAGGCTGAGGAAGGAAGATTGAAAATTCAAGGTCAGCCTATGCAACTTAGTGAGACTTTGTCTCAAAAAAAAAAAAAAAAAAAAAAGAGAAAAAAAATATGCTGGAAATGTAGCTCAGTGGTTCAGCACTTTGCCTAGCACATGGTGCAAGGCCCTGGGTTCAATTCCCAGTACCAAAAAAAAAAAACACACAAAAAAAAAACCCAAAACAAAACAAAAAAACTCCAAAACAATGGACCCAAATAACTTTGAATACAGTATTTTCACTATAAATTCTTAAGCTAAAGACAGCACTATGAAACAATGTTGAAGTCCAATTAGTAGATCTATATTCATAATGATGAAAAACATGGATTAACAATTCTAGGGGCTGGGGTTGTGGCTTAGTGGTAGGAATGCTTGCTTAGCAAGTGTGAGGCCCTGGGTTTGACTCTCAGCACCACATACAAAATAAATAAATAAAATAAAGTTATAAAAGATATATATATTTTTTAAAAAATAACAATTCTAAAACTACTTACTACAATTCTAGGATTGAGCAAACAAATATATTGTGGACCTGTTCTTTATTGCTTTTAGAAAAGGAAGCTACGAGTACAGAAAAGAAAGAGGCTTGAGTGAATCCAGTAGTTGTAGGATACAATTAGAAGTATCAACATAAACTCATAGCTAATAATTATACATTGATAAATACATATGAATATTGAGTATTGCATATGTATAAATAAGCGTATTTACCAGTTGAGATGACCTCAGTAGCTTTGAACTTACAGAGTGCTCAGACCTTGCTTTCTAAATATTATTCTCCAGAAGGAGGAGTAAATCTCCTTATAGAAATTGTTGATTCTAGGAAAGGGTCACAGAATTTAAAAGATGAATATGGAACATCTTTTTCTTTTTTTATTTTTTATTTTGAGACAGGGTCTTGCTAAGTTGCTAAGGCTGGTCTCAAATTTGCAATCCTCCTGCCTCAGCTTTCCAAGTCGTTGGGATTGCAGGCAAGTACCACCATGCCCAGATAACAGGGAACATTTTGTTTTGCCAGAAATCAAAGTAAGTGCTCAAAGTACCACAGAAACATGTCAGAAAGATCAGCAGCCAATTTGGAGGGGTGCCCGTTGGCCAAATTTGGGTTGATTTGAGCCTCAAAATAAATGATTACAACAGTTTATAACTCACTGAGTAAAATCCATGAGTAAGAATCTATGTGCTCAACTGATATAAACAAACAAACATGTAAAGGGAAGAGAAGGAAAAATCTCTTCCTTAGAGTAGAATAGTGATGATATTAACTCTGCCTATCCAAAAGCAAGGTACATCTTTCCATCTTCTAAGGTCTTCTTTGATTTCTTTCTTTAGGGTTCTGTAGTTTTCATTGTATAGATCTTTCACCTCTTTCATTAAGTTGATTCCTAAGTATTTTTTTTTTTTTTTAGCTATTGCAAATGGGGTAGTTTTCCTCATTTCCCTCTCAGAGGATTTTTCACTGTATACAGAAAT